CCCCCAAAACCCCAAAACCCCAAAACCCCTGACCTCTATTTAAGTTGAACCACTTCGAAATAATATTTAAGTAAGCCACAATGGAGACTATAAGGGTAAAATATGATTCTAAGCTTTTACCTAAGGTAATCAATCTGTCATGCCAAGTAATGTTTATGAATACTTAATGCTGGTTAAATTGCATGAGGTTTACTGCAATAGAATTCCTGGAAGCAATAAACTCTAAATGCTTGATTTAGAAAACCCCGATTCAATTGAAAATATCATCCTTAAAGGTAAGGTTAATATGTTTATAGTTGTAAGGTTCCTTACTGCTTAGCCCTTTGGCACAAAGATCAGCCTAAAATTTAATATTTGAATTTTTAAGAAAATGTTTCATCTTTGAGTTTTCTCTTTTGGAATTTTAAGAAACTTTCTTCATTTTAATCAAAGAAAATTATTTAGTTCAATTTTTTAGATGAAATTCGAGGGGATGGCCAAACTATTCAGAGTAAATAGAGGAAGGAAGCTTCGGAATTCAAGGTTTGGAGCCAAGTCGTTCATTGTCAGAAGAAGGAAGCCATCCAAATTAAATAGAAAGCAAAATTTTTTGTAAGTTATATCTGCCAAAATTCTTCCTATTAATTCTCTACATTTGCGCTGGGAGATTTTTAAACCAAATTTATATAGTTCAATAACTAGTCCTTTGAGAGAGAGGAGAAGAAGAACTCGAAAGACTATGCAAGTACCCAGAGTGCATGTAAAGAGCCCTCCTCCAAACCTCAACTCTGGAGAACTCTTAAGCCCACTAGGTTCGGATTTAGAGCAGGAGAAAGAGAGATATATGACTATCATCATGAAAGCCCAGAATGCTTTAAGAAATAACTCTCGAGTTTTTGGCTCCCCATGTGTCCTCAAAAAGTTTTTATCTGAAAGACGTTCCTTTAAAAGTCAAGGTAAGCCCTGTTTCTTTATTATATCACGGTTTACTGTTTCTACGAATTTTTTCATAAAGTATTTTTGCAAATATTCTCACACTTTATAGGCAATGTAAGAGGCCAATCTTTCACCTCAGAAGGTCTCGAAGCCAGTGGCCCTGGTAAGAGAAAGAAGTTTCTTAATAAAGTAAACATCAGGAAGTTAAATATCACCAAGAAATCAGCATCATTTACTGCAAAGAATATGACCTCATAGCCTAATAGCTAATTATTAAGCTTAATGTTTTCTTTTCTAAATTTATTTGTCGACTTTAATTTTATGCCAAATTCATAGTAGGGGTTAGACGTACGAATTTGAGCATGCAACGATTGGATGAAATCTTCTCTCATTCTTCTATCTAATGTTATCGTTTATGATACTAAATTTTTTAGCGAAACCTTTAACCTTGCCATTCTGTGAATGTGAGCTTACTTTACTATTCTTTGTAATTTTGTACAATTTTCCTGATTTGCTAATCCTTGGGAGTTAATAATCTCAACAAAAGCCATATCTGCGCTATTTTCGATGATTTTTGCTTAAATAGAGCAGTTTAATTTCTTAGTTAGTATATAACCTTTCGATTAAAATAACTAGATTCTCCAATTTGTGAAGGGAATAACTAACCCTCAATGAAAGAGTCAGGACTAGAGCTGCATGCTTACGCTGAAAAGCTTACATTCAGCACATTTTGGAGCAGCTACATGCCTCCTCAGGAATTGTCGAGATATATAAGAGTATTTAAATAGGAACTCATGGATCAAGTTTTGAACATGAAACAATGGCATAGAAATTAGCACTCTAACATAGAGTACGAACACTCTTAATTTACATCTTAATCCTTTGTCAAAACAGCAAACTGAGGAGTCTTTGGAGATAGAATTAGTTTATCAGTTGGTTCAACATTATAATCTTATCTTGGGGTTTTGGGGTTTTGGGGTTTTGGGG